ATTTGTGTAAGTATTCCAAGAAGTACACAGAGCACATATCTGGGTTATAAAAGCCCTTTTATAAAGCCATTTTTAAACAAAACAAAGTTTACAAAAGAAAAAAAAGATACAGAAAAAGAATAACTTGCTTCATGTCCCCAAAAGAAAGAAAAAAAGTAAAGGGGACAATGCCAACATGCTCAACAATAAAGGGTTCTTTTCCTTATTTTTTAATACAAAATACAAGCAAAGGATACACATACTTAAAACAGAGCTCAGGAGCAGACACGCAGTCCTGGAAACCCTTCCATAAAGAAAGCAGGAGTCTGTTTTTTCTTTGTCTATGCAGGTACATACAGAGACTGGGATATGTAAAAATTAAGTATCACAAAAGACCATCACACGTCTACCAATGTATGTTGCATCTATAATTCACGAACAAAATCATGTTCATTTCAACCCCATTTCATTTAAATTAAAAAAAAAAAACACAACTTTTAAATAAAGTGGTTACATTCAAACTTGAATTTCCTTAGTACCATGCTGCAGATTTCAGCACTGTTAAGGTATTGCAAGAACGCCCAACCCTCTGGTGTTTGATCACGTATCTAGCAACATTGCAGTATTAAGAAAGGGATGCCCCGGTCTCAGCCCACGGACTTAAAATTAAACACATTTACGCAGGTTCCTCATTTACCCTTCCTGCTCAGAACGTAAAAGATTAAGGACTAAAATTAAGGAAGACTGGGGATTTTAGAGCTGGCAAAATGAAGTCTGAAAGATGAATCAAGGCAAACAATTACTGAGAACGTGGCTGCTGCTTAACCTGACAAGTCTTCAAGTCTTTCCTTAAATCTTACAGGAGTTAGGTATTTAAGGTTTGCTGCAACACGGTCATGGTAAACAAACTAAGTAGAGCTCTTATTTACAAATCTAGTAACAAATACTTCTGGAGGAAAAAAAGAATCCACTAATTTCCAGAAGACAAAGGTTTAATCGCCAGACATATACACACACTCACACACACACCCACACAATACTTCAGGGGTTTTTATACATGTTATTTAGGGGTAAGCTAAGTACTATACCCACTCCCCATCAAAAAACAAAAACAAAAAAACAATTTTACCCTCCCCCCCATAAGTCTAGAAAACCCCCCCTTCAACCCTGATGTACAAAGTGTATGCACAATGGTGGCATTTCACCATCCACACAAAGCATGCTCCAACAGATGTCACCAGTTCAGTCACTCCGTTGGCATGGCAACAGGCAGGTTTAGGGGACTTTTGTCAATAGTGGTTAATACACAGTCAGCACCACTGTGAATTTTGTGAACTAGGCTTTGAAGGAAAAAAAAAAAAAAGTGTGACTTAGGGATTTGAGATTCAAAAAGAGTCGTTTTATATCAAGTTTATCCCAAGACCAAGGGAAAATGGTTTGCAGATTGAAATTTGGCTGTAGATGGCTTGATGTCCTAATATTCAAATAAACTAACTCCTTTACAAATAAACCCAGCGCCAAACGTAGAGGAAAGGACAGCTCTCTCTATCCCTTGGCATGAAGCGTGGTACTCGTCTACATCAGTGTTTATGCCGAGGGCCACGGAGCCCGGAGCCCAGGCTCTCCCTTTGCCAACTCCGGAGGGGACGTCGTTTCTGCTTCTCAGAGCAGCCACAGGTGAAGGGGCACAGGGCCATTCCAACTCCCCTTCTTCACCTGTGACAACGGCCACGTGGCCTTTCCTCAAGCTTCCCCGTCACTCCTGGTGTCAGCTTCTGCCCTTGCCTAACACTCTCAAAGCATCTTCTAAAGAATGATTCCCTTTCTCCAACCAGTACTCTAAAAATCCACTTGTTACCTGAATGGTCATGGTTAAAAAAAGAAATGTTTGGGAGAAAAGTGTCAAGTTCAACTTAGCTGACCACATATATTCACAAGTGTCAAAAACCTTACTGGATTATAACTTCCAGTTCTTCTTGATTAGTTACCTGTAAGAAAATGCTTTTTGAACCAGTATCAAGAATAAGTATTGAAATGAGGATTCAACCTGGGGCAAACAGTTACTATGGACAAGAAAAGACATTAAACCTCCTTTATGGGAAATCAACTATTCTTCAAGATAAAAAGACTTCCACTCATTACCTCCCTAAAGGAGGACACACCCATTAACTTTCCTTTAGTGGAGATATGAAAGGCAGGTTTGTGGAAAGCAGGACAAATCTACCATTAGTAAAATTAAAACGTATCCTTTGGGTCTACTCCATTGATTCCAATTTAAGGGGGGGAGGGCTAAAAGCAGCAGCAAATTACAGATAGACTTAAATGTAAACTACCCATGTCAAGTTGTGTGTGTGTGTGTGTGTGTATGTGTGGTAAGTCTAGAAAAAATCTTAAGAACTAGAATGTAGTGTCAGTCGGCACAGCTGCCGAACTCCATGTTTCAGAGGTAAACCTAACAGAGCTAACACAGAGAATTCCGTTAGCACAAACAAGCACCTTCGAGGGTAATGTCCCATTTCCTGAGCTCTGCAAACAAGGCCATGAAAGCTATTGCCACCTCATCATAGGCACGCCAGGGAAAAGAGGGAGATTAGTCAAGAGTGGTGCCAATGACCAGCCACCATCAGCTTACAGCTTGTAACCCAGCCTGACATCACAGCAAGCCTGACTATTGAGCACCGGTTTCCAGTTCAGACACCACAGCTACCCTCCTACTTGCATGCATGATTTGAAGGGAAGACTAGAGTGTTTTAAATCAATAAAAAGTGGAGAAAACAAAGGTCATTCAGAGCCTGTCTCTCACTTGGGGACACAGATCCTTTTGTCCAGTCTATTAGAAATATAAATGTTTTTCAATCTCATGAATTTGTTAAAAAGGAATTGCAAACAAAAAGCCCAACCAAATACACACAAAGAACTTAGACGACAAATTACCTCTAAAATATGTGCCTGTATCACATAGATGTTAGTGCAGATTAATATATTTAAGAGACTGTGTTACATAAAATACCGAGGCTAAAGTTTTAAAAAGACCCCCTTGCCCACCACCGATTTTCACAAAACATAATCTAAGAAAAGCCCAAATGTTACTAGGAATGTAAAACAAAGTTATAAACCCCTATACATAGAAGTGCATGGTGGAAACACTGAGGTCTCTTGCTAGAACACATATCTTATTAAAATTGGGTACCTAAACAAACCCACTAAAGCAAACAGAATAACCTTTAGATAATGATCCAACTGCTACTTATAGTCAAGCTTTGCATTTTTGGCCAAGTACTAAAATCTTCAAATTCATTAACACACAATGCAACAGCGATGCAACTGTCACTAGGTGTTGTTTTTTTTTTAATCACAAAGAATACTTCTTAAAGTGTCTTAATAATCAGAGTAAAACTATTCATTAAATAACCTTTTGTTCTAGGAACATCTGTAAGAAAGCTATGTTGTCAGAGAGTAAAATATGCTGTAATTAAAAGAAAATTGCATTAAGAAAAATATTGAGGAAGCAAATCTAGATAAAAAGGCAGAGGTTAAATTTCACTAATTTTTCAACTTCTTAGCACGCTAAGGCCCTTAACCCTTGCTTCCAGCTCATGGTATCAGGATGTGGAGGATGGAACGCACATGTCTATCTCCTGACTGCTTTCATAAGCATGTCAAGTCTGTTAACCGCACGTAGGTCTCCTGAATGCATGCCTTCTCTACCCCTGCGGAACCTCTTATACTCCAAACAATAGGAGCAGTAAGCAGACACACCAGTAAAAAGAAAAACAGCAAATTAAACGTGTGGGAGCATCATTTAACACACTCCCATCACACACAGGACATGAAGGAGGTGAAGACAGAGCCAGGAGAAATCATGTCCTCCAGCAGGGCTGGCAGGCACTGGGGGGTGGGTCTGCAGGAGCCTCCTACATGGTAGCAGGAAGCCGAGATGCACTTCATACCATGGTTCTATGAAGAAATGGGAAGATAGGTGTATGAAAAAGAAAAGTTCTATCCCCAAATAAAACAGCACAGTTCATGGAATCTGAATGCACATACATTTATGGCATGAAAGAAGTTCAATTCTCTGTTTTCATAAAGGAAAAAAAAATCTCAAGTCTTTGTGAACAAGTTTCACATTAACCGGTAGTTTATTTGCTTATAACCTAAACATTGTCAGTTTGAGAAGAAATCCACTATGATATATAGATCTTGCCATTTAAATTCTAGGGTTTTTTTGTTTTTGTTTTTTTTTACCCTTGGTAAAAACTTATCCAAGAAACAGGATACATATATATTTTAAAACATGAACCATCAGAGAGTAAACTAGGAAATTAAGTGTGATTTAAGTATTGGTGCTCCTTGTTTTTTCCTTTTCTTTTTTTAATTCCTTAAAGACGTAGTAGAATAAAAGGATCACTGGCTCTGAACCTCTGAGATAACAAGTGATGAAATTTAAAAAAAAAACCCACTCTCTCAAACAAGGTCAGGTTACCCACTCCCTGCCCTGCCTCGCAAAGTAAAAAATAAACCTGTATTAATGACAATTTTTTTAAAGTCCAAGTAGAGAAAGAAGCAATCATTTTTAACTAAAATCCTTCTGTTTTTTGATTACTGTTCAACCTGCTTACTGTTTAGCAAAAAGCAACATTTCCATAGTGTTCATCTCAAATCTTATTGCTTTACAACTGTGGTATACCATCCTTTAAAAATAAAAAGATGAAGCAGTCAATCCAGTGATTAACTTGACATGGCTTTCATTGAAAAAGGGAGGGATAGGAGGGTAGTAGCAAAGAAAATACCAATAGACAAAAAGGTAAATTAAACATACAAAGATTTTCTTAAAAAAAAAAAAAAAAAAGTTAAAAAAAAAGTTATTTTCAACAAAAGAGAAAAAAGCACTGAAAGCCCATGAGTCAAAGCCATAGCCAAACCATGTTCTATCTTATGTAGTTTTCTTTTTTTGCCCCTTTTTTCCTTTTTTTTTTCCTTTTCTTTTTTTAAATAAAATCTCTCCCAAACCATCATCACTTTTAATCCTCCCCAGACTGGGCTTCATCTTCAGACCCTTCGTCCCCAGACTTCTCGGGCAGAGGGCTGGCAGAGGCTTTCTTCTCCGGGGGGCTCTCCGGCTCCTCGTCCTCTTCTTTGGGAGAAGGAGTCTTTTCCTTTGACACCTTTGAAGCTGTGGGGCGACCCACTTTCCCTTTGCCTTTCACAGGACTTGGCGTCACTGAGAGAAGAAAAAGGCCAATTTTGGGAAGGGAAGAAAACATCTTTAATAAAAACTAGCAAGAAATAACACAATCTACAAGAATAAAATCTATAAAGACAACCCTCCCAACTTACTGGTTTCCAACACTCTTACCTGCACTGTCATGTAATGCTAGCAGTAATGCTTAGAATAGACAGGATACGGTACATCAAGCATGTCAAACTCACCGGCTCACAACAAATATTTTTGTTGCCCAGCCAATATAACGTTATGTAAGAAATGGTTTAATAAAAATTCTGTAACTTAATTTTTACACTATCCTGTTATACATAATTATTAATAATGAACTACCACATTCGCTAATGATTACTATAATCGTGTCACATTGATTTCCCTTATGCACAGACATGCCATCTCTCTCCACTAATACTAGCAACAAATATTTTAGCAGCCGACTACAATGTCATTAGTCTTGGACTGACTTGTTTGGTGTGCACAATAGGAAATATTTCGCTTTCAGAGAACAAGAAAAATTTGTGCGACGCTTATTAATTTGTGCAGCTATTCAGTGTCTGGTAAGTTAATGTTCAAGAAAAAATATTAATTTTTATAAAAATGTTCTATTATTTTATGTTAACAATTACTCCTTTATTTCAGCATGTCTCTATAAAAAAAAACAACCCTACATTTCTAAGAAAATTAAGTTTTTATTTATTTTTGTGGCCCACATAAACTTAAACCTTGTTTATTTGGCCTGTTAGCCTTTCAGTTTGACATGCTTGCTGTGTATCATCCTTAGTAGCTTGTGAACTAAGTGGTATTTATGTTTAAAAAGTGGGCCAAGAAGAAAGACTATGATAACCTAAGTAGAAACTGAAGCTATCAAATAACTTTTCTGATACTTCCAGGAATCCCAACAGTAAGAAGTGATGAGTAAAAGGTTTAAAAATCATCAGTTCCATTAGCCAGAATTAAAAAAAAAAAAAAAAAAAAAAAAGTAAATCTAGCCTGGCTGGAGTGGCTCAGTTGGTTCAATGTTGTCCCATGCATTGAAAGATTGCTAGTTCAATTCCTGGTCAGGAAGCAGGTGGAAGGCAACCGATCAGGGTTTCTCTCTCCATAGTTCCCCCTTTCTCTAAGCATGTCCTCAGATGATTAAAAAATAGTAACATTAAAAAACAAAACAAGCCGAGACCGGTTTGGTTCAGTGGATAGAGCGTCGGCCTGCGGACTAAAAGGTCCCAGGTTTAATTCCGGTCAAGGGCATGTACCTTGGTTGCGGGTGCATCCCCTGTGGGGATGTGCATGAGGCAGCTGACCGATGATTCTCGCTCATCAATGTTTCTAACTATCCCTCTCTCTTCCTCTCTGTAAAAAAATCAATAAAAATATTTTTAAAAAGCTCATTTATATTCTCAACAAAGTTAAAAAAAAAAAAAAGGCAAGTTTAGCTTTCTGGTTTAATAACAAACTATCTCTGATTAAAACATTTGTCAGAAACTGCAAGGCCTCAAGGAAAATATGTGGTCAAGTGTGGTTTTATTCTGAGAGCACGGAGGATGATGTAGGATCAAAACACAGAACTTAAATTACTATAGATGTACATTTCCACAATTTCAAGTCTTTACTAACTGCTGGAGTTGGGATACTGTGGGGGAAAGGGCAGCGATAGCTATGTTGATGCAGTATTGCTTTTTTTCTTTTTTTAATATATTTTATTGATTTTTTACAGAGAGGAAGAGAGAGAGACGGAGTTAGAAACATCGATTAGAGAATCATCGACCAGCTGCCTCTTGCATACCCCCTACTGGGGATGTGCCCACAAACAAGGTACATGTCCTTGACCGGAAACAAACCTGGGACGACCTTCCAGTCTGCAGGCCGACACTTTATCCACTGAGCCAAACTGAATTCGGCGATGCAGTATTTCTAACACTGTGCCTGACACATATAACCTGTTTCCCTGAAAATAAGACAGTGTCTTATATTATTTTTTTCTCCCCAAGTTGTGCTAGGTCTTATTTTCAGGGGATGTCTTATCTTTCCATGCGCTAGGTCTTATTTTCGGAGGATGTCTTATTTTCAGGGAAACACGGTAGGTCATTCCCAAATCTTGCTTATGTTCAGCCATTGTTAAAGAACAGGGCTAAGTCCAGTCGGCATGCTTTAGTGGTTAAGCATTGACCTATGAACCAGGAGGTCATGGTTCAATTCCCGGTCAAGGCACATGCCCAGGTTGTGGGCTCAGTCCCCAGTGGGAGGCATGCAGGAAGCAGCTGATCAATGATTCTCATCATTGATGTTTCTCTCTCCTCGTCTTCCTTACTCTCTGAAATCAATACACACACACACATATATTACAGTGCTAAGCCACCAGGCTCTTGGATAGTCTGGAGTCCTTATTAATAAATGACACTTCCAGGTTTAGAAAACAGAATGCTTTCAGAATTCATTTATTCTTAATTAACTATTTGGCCAATGTCAAGCCTTAATGAGGAATTTCTGTAGAGAAAGTTTTATTAGTTCATGAAATTTCTCAAAGCAATAATTTAATTCTGCAGACCTCACCTGTAGCCTTTAGCCTGGGTTTGGGCATTTTCTTTTCTTTTCTCTCAGGTTTGGACTTCTTAACCACCTTTTTGTTTTTCTTTTTTGAACTGCCATAATCACTATCATCATCGTCTTCCATTAGAAAATCTTCATCGCTGCCGGAATCTTCTGAGAGGAAAGAAGAATTTCAACGTCCAACTTAATGTATATATCCTTCCAAGTGAACAAAGGGAGAGAACGCTAAGAATGACTGGAGGATGGGATCTGGGAGTCAAACACTACTGAATTCTATTTACAGCTATTCCACCTGTTTGGTTGGAGTTGTCACTGGCCCCACCTGTACAATGGGGTTAGCACACACATGAGGGTTACATGACTGACTTGAAGAGTAGGTGAAAATAGGAAGGGATAGCCGAAACCGGTTTGGCTCAGTGGATAGAGCGTCGTCCTGCAGACTCAAGGGTCCCAGGTTCAATTCTGGTCAAGGGCATGTACCTTGGTTGCAGGAGGCAGCTGAATGATGTTTCTCTCTCATCGATGTTTCTAACTCTCTATCCCTCTCTTGTCCTCTCTGTAAGAAATCAATAAAATATTTAAAAAAAGAAAAAAAAGAAAAAAGAAAGAAAGAAAACAGGAAGGGATAAAACTTAATCTGAATAAAAACTGAAGCCATCAGAAACTTTTGGCAATTATATCATTCCCATATAGATCGGTGAGACCAGAGAAATGAAACCGCATCAACTTAAGTGTGTTTGGTCCAATTATGAATAAATGAAGTAAGAAAATTATTCATCTGAGTAACCTGTGAAACATCTCAATTCTGTTATTAACACTTTTTGTCAGGGGAGGAGGTCTACCCCCTTCTACACCAGGCCAAAATGCAAATCTTAATCACAATACCTGCCATGGAAATACTATTCTAACAATTGTTTATTAAATATTTGAATACAAACAATGGACAGCAGTCATGAGAATCTTTGAACCTTTACAAAATCAACAGATGTCAAGACCATCATCTCTTCTAACAGTGAGTAATTTAAGGGACTGTTTGTAACATCCAGCATCCCCCCCAAAACGCCAAAATAATCAAGATCACACACTGCAATCATGACCAAACAACAAGCCAACGTTACGCACTCTCCTGGAACTGCGCCTCGTCCTCTTCTTCCTGTTCTTCTTCGCTGCCCACATCTTCCAGGAGCATCTCTCTCTGTTTAGAAGCTGCTTTAGAGGCTGCCTGCCGTTGCTGGCGCACATTTTTATGATCTTCCTTTTCATCCTCACTGTCCTCTGCAATATCAAAATTATGATGCACTGATCTAAGAGTTGTGTTTGACAACTACCTGGAAAAGCCAATGCAAACTAGCTCTGATAAGGAGAATATCTGCCAGAAACCACAAAGCCTAAAAAAAAATAAATGCATGTGGTCAAGTGTGGTTTTATTCTGCAAGCAGAGGATGCTGTAAGAATCAAACTACCCCCTTCCCCCGCCAAAACCTTCACAGGTGACTGTAATACACCACCTGGATTGAAAATCACTATGAGCTCTTCAAAAGCGAAGGCATCTTTGTAACGCCAATATTTACAATGCCAGGCATTACTATAAAACCACTTACTAAAATGTCTACTAAATAAGTACATAAAAAGAAATACTGTTTATTACCTGCTGAGTGAGAATCATCCTTCTTAGTCTTCACATCTTTTTCTTCTGAGTCTTCACTATAAAGGGAAGGAGTAAGACATTTAAGTTATTAGATCAAATCCTAAGTGAATATAGATCTCTGGTATGTGACTGAGGAACACTGAAGAAAACCTTTATGTATAAAATTAAAATGATATTAAGGAGTTTCCATTATTTCCCTACTTTACAGGGATGCTGATAAATAAGCATAATTTTTATCTTTTGAAAAATACTGTTTCAAAAAACCCAAAGGGAAAAAGGAAGGCATCTCAACACAGGCTGCAAATCTCTCACCTGTAGATATTGCCTAGCTAAAAAAATATTTAATAAAAATATTGTGCCCTAGCCGTTTTGGCTCAGTGAATAGGGTCGGTCCTGGGTTCAATTCCCATCAAGGGCACTGGTTGCAGGCTGGTCCCTCGCCTGGGCACTGGTTGGGGCTCGTGCAGAAGGCAAACAATTGATGTATTTCTCTTACATTAATGTTTCTCTGTCTTTCTCTTCTACTCTCCTTAAAAATCAATGGGAAAATATCCTTTGGTGAGAATTAACAGAAAAACAAAAATTCTGTTATTAAAGGAAGACTATAAAAATATTACAATTTTATATAAATATGCCTAAATATTTATCTAAAACAAAATATTAACTATATATATTTGCCTCTGACATTTCTACACAGCAGAAATATGAGCACATGGGTCTGCTTGTATCCTGGAGGAAATAAAAGTGAGCTCAAAATCACTGCAAAATAAAATAAGGAATTGCAAAGTTCAATGAGCCCTGGACAGGTGGCTCATTCACCAAAAGTTTGCAGGTTTGATTTCTGGTCTGGGCACATATGGGAGGCAAGAGACTGATGTATATATCTCTTTCTCCCCCCCCCCCCCCCCCCCCGCGCCTTGCCAAAGCAAGGCCTCCAAAAATTAGGTTGCCTCCCCACCAAAACTGGGAGAGTATGACTGATGTATCTTGATGTTTCACTCTCTTTCTCTGTCCCTCTCTAAAAATCAATAAAAAAAAAATATCATCGGGGGGGGGGGGAAGCTCAGTGAAAAGTACTATAAAACCATTTTAAAGTCACAAAAATGCACATTTTATGTCCTCACAAATTTTAGCTCAGGAATCTGGTTATTAGTGCCCTGTCTTTGTCATTATTTAGTTTTATGATCTTAGGCAAATTACTTGGTACTCTTCAATGCTAAAACTTTATGATTCTATGAGAAATTCTCACAAAAAAACAAAAAAAGTCATAAGCTTTTCTTTCTTAAACAGCAAATCTTGTAAACCTCTTGATATTTCTCATAATCTAGACCTCATTCAAAAGACAAGCTACAGAACCTAAGCAAAGAAAAAAAACATATTTCTTTACTAAAGTAATCTAACCCTCGAAACACTGTAATTCTTATAACCTGTGACTGTTCTATATGTTTTATATAAAATAAACATTTAATCTCCAAGTCTATAACAACAATGAATAATTATATCATTTTTCTCTAGTTCTTTTATTATTGAGTTATAGAAACCATTGAGCCTTCAGTCACAATACAGCAAAGTCAAGTAAAAGCTAAACTTTTATATAGAGACCAATGGAAAAATCAACACAATATGGTCTGAGGGACCCTACTCAGTTGTGCTCAATGGATATCGAGTGTTGACCTGTTGACTGAAGGGCCAGGGTTTGATTCCGGGCAAGGGCACATGCCCAAGCTGTGGCTCAATCCCCAGTGTGGGACATGCAGGAGGCAGTCAATCAATGATTCTCTCTCATTATTGATGTTGTTTTTTTGTTTTTTTTTTCTATCTCTCCCTCTCCTTTCCTCTCTTAAGTCAATAAAAATACATTAAGCTGAAACCAGTTTGGCTCAGTGGATAGAGCGTCAGCCTGCGGACTGAAAGGTCCCAGGTTCAATTCTGGTCAAGGGCACGTACCTTGGTTGTGGGCACATCCCCAGTTGGGGGCGTGCAGGAGGCAGCTGATTGATGTTTCTCTCACATCAGTGTTTCTCTGTTATCTCTTTCTCCCTTCCTCTCTGTAAAAAAAAAAAAACAACCAATATTAAAAGGTGTTTAAAAAATAATTTTAAAATATATATATATAGTCCAAGGGAATCCTATCTAATAAAAGAGTAATATGCAAATTGACCATACCTCTGCTACACCCACAAGCCATGTCCAGCAGCCAATCAGGAGTGGGTATGCAAATTAACCCAACCAAGATAGCTGGGGCCTTGGAGCTGCAGCAAGCAGGAGGCTTGGGTTTCCTCAGCAAGTGTCTTCCCAAAAGAAATGAAGATTCTCCCAATTTAGAGATCAGAAATTACCCTATCAGAGTGATTGACAGAATAATCAGGAACCAATGAACAATTCTTGCCAAAAACAATGCTCTTTACCTATCTTCCTGTGAATTCTTCCCAGATCGCCTTTTATTTTTAGCTTCTCGTGGAGATGATCGAATTTTCTTAGCTGGAGGACCCGAATCTCTTCCGTAATCTTCATCTACACAGCATTTTTCAAAAATCAATAAACTATATTATGATTTGTACATGTAGAAATTACCAATGTTATTTTCTGAGATAATTATCTCCCATGCTCTTTAAGTAACGAGAGACAAAATTTTTCAAATAACTATTTTTTCATGAAAAAAATAGTTTAGCCAGCATGGCTCAGTGGTTGGGCATAGATCAATGAACCAGAAGTTCACCATTCAATTCCCTTCAGGACACATGCCCAGATTGTGGGTCCAAACCCTGGTTGTGGGGCATGAAGGAGGTAGCTGACAAATGATTCTCCCTCATCATTAATGTTTCTATCTTCCTCTTTGAAATAAATTTTTAAAACACACATTTTAAAAATAAAGTTTTTCTTTCTTAGTCTCACCACCTTATCATTTCCATTTCTGTATATTACCCTCTAGTCCTCATGTGTATGTTTTAATATATCCTTAGCCAAATATCTCATCATTTGTATATCCTACCCTTTTAATTTATTAAAGATTTCCCCATGTTTCCACATCTTTATATTTATTTTAAAACTATTATAGTAATAAGGTATAAACATTTTAAAATGTAAAGAACCTTGATTCTACAATGCTAATATAAGTCCTGTTATCAAGTACATTACTTTTAAATTAAAGTAGTAAGTATAGTATACTCTGGCACTTAAGAAAAAATACCTCCAATTACTTTCTTTTTTAAAAATTTTGATTTTAGCCCAACTGGCAGAGCTCAGTGATAGAGTGCTGACCTATGTTATCAGGTCACATTCTATTCTCAATCAAGGCACTTGCTGGGGTTGCAGGTTTAATCCCCAGTAAGGGGCATGCTGAAGGCAGCCAATCAATGATTCTCTTTCATCATTGATGTTTCCATTCCTCCTTTCCTTCCTCTCTGAAATCAATAAAAATATATTTAAAAATTTGATCTTAAGAGTAGAAAAGAGGGAAAGAGAACCATCGGTTTGTTGTTCCACTTACTTATGCAAAATAACTTCAATTTCAAAAACCCTATTAAAGAAAATTATCCCACCTTAAAAGGTGATTATTTCCAAAAGTGTTTACTACACCATTATACACAGAGCTTCAGCAATTATTAAAAGGTGGATACATTATAAATTCCATTATGGAATATCATACAACCATTAATCCGAATTTTTCAAGTAACTTCTAATAACAGGAGGCAGATATTAAGTGGGGGCGGGAGGGTAATAGTAAGTAGGGGTGATATGATAGAGGAGAGAACCCAAAAATCCTACAGTAAGACCTCACGTAGATTTTTAAAGAGGTCAGTGTGGTTCAGTGGTTGAGCATAGACCCATGCAACAGATCTCTGATTCGATTCCTGGCCAGGGTACAATGTCTGGGTTGCTGGATAGACCCCAGCAAGCATGGTTCAGTGGCAAGAGGCAACCGATGGATGATTTTTCTCTCTCATCCATGTCTCTATCTCTCCCTCTCTCAAATATCAATAAAAGCATTTTAAGGGGAAAAAAAATCAAAAGCTTTTTCAACAAAATGGTTAAAATGGCCATTTGTTGGCTAATGGGTCTTGAGTAATAACTTTGCTTCAGTTTTGTTATCTGCAAAATGGAAATAATAATATATATCCTATTTTAATAGTATTGTTCTGAGGATTAAATTTATAAGTGTGCATTTAGCAAGCATTTAATAACCAGTTAACTGCCACACATCCAAAGACGCTTTTATCTCACTTGCACCTATAGACACTTATGGTATACAAAGGAGTAAATCCAACCTGAGATGTTGGATTGTGTGGGTTTAAAAAAAAACAAAAAACTCTTCCTTAGGCATTTTCTAAGTTTTCCCAAAGAGCACATATTATCTTTATAAAGGAAAATTAGCGTTAAAAAAAGGAAAAAAATAGTAAATGCATCTGGAAAATAGTAAGATTAGGAACACCATATTCTATAGAAACTTGTTATGGCTAAGACTTAAGATACACTACTCATTCTATAATGAGTCAGTTCACAAATCAAAGTTGTTTCACAAAATACTTGTCTAGTTACTTTCTTACACAAAAACAAAAATACTCCCTATTAAAAGGTACAAGTTTAAAATGTGATTATAGGATACATTAACTAATAAGCACTGCATTAGAATAATTGCACACTTAAAACTTTGGACTGCAAAACAAAAACAAAAAATGTATTCAATGTCTACATGAATAATTTACTAAGTAAAACTTAAAATCCATGCAAGTTCAAGTTTTATTTGGGTGACACAGATCTTGATGTAATTTAGATACATAAACAGTCTAAATATGAAAAATTAAAAAACTATTCCAAAAGCCTTATAAAAAGTACATAAACTAGTGATTCTCCCACTAGTAGGGTCCAACTCATAATTTACTGAAATCAGAAAACTTACCAGCATCATCAGATTCCTGAAACTGTGAATAATCAACGACCTTCCTATTTCTGTAGAAAGAAAAATTCTAATTAAGATAATAAAAATGTAGGACTTTCTAAGATATTAGTATACACATTTCTTTTTCCTAAAATAAAATTAGAACTCTCTCTCTGAAAAAATTTTTCAACAAATTCCCATGTAAGCCCTGATTGGTTTGGCTCAGTGGCTAGAGCGTCGGCCTGCGAATTCAGGGGTCCCAGGTTTGATTCCAGTAAAAGGCATGTACCTTGGTTGTGGTAGGGGGTGTGCAGGAGGCAGCTGATCTATGTTTCTCTCTCATTGATGTTTCTAACTCTCTATCTCTCTCCCTTCCTCTCTGCAAAAAAAATCAATAAAGTGTATATATATTTTTAAAAAGAACAAATTCCCATCTCAACCAAAAGACTTCACATATTTTTTTGTTTTGTTTTTATTAATTGATTTTAGAAAGAGAGAGGGAGGGGTGGGAGAGAGGAACATGGATTTGTTGTTTCACTTATTTATATATTCATTGGTTGATTTTTTTTATGTGTCCTGATCAAGGATTGAACCCAAAACTTGGGACACATCAGGACGCTCTAACCAATGATCTATCTGACCAGGGCATATAAGTTTTTCTTACTGCTATATACACATATGTATACCTGATAAACAAGGTTATTGAGTTGTTTCAAGATGAAGTGACTTTTAAATATTATAATACAATTGCATTATAAGATATAAATAGTAATGAAGGTAAGTTAAGCCTTATGAAGGGGAAGAAAAAAACCTGACTCATTCAAGATTCTTATAATCTCAAACAAACCTTAATTTGAATTTCCCTACTTTATATACAGGGTGAGGCAAAAGTAGATTTACAGTTGTGAATACTCAATATACAGTTTGTTCGTGTATTATTATTTTCCATACGAACAACTGTAAACCAACTTTCGTCCCACTCTGTATAGAAGTGTCCAGATAGCCTGGCTTTCAAAAGAGCCTTAGATGCACTATAACTAAAGATACTGAACAAGTGAACTGAAAAAATTAAGAGAAACAACCACCAAACACTGAGCAAAGAGTTTTATAATAAAGATTAAGACACCACTTAAATTCAGACAGGATGGTCAGAATCCAAGGACTGGTAGAACTACTATATAATATGCAAAAATGATAGGTGTAGGAATGAATTCTGAGAACATGTATGAAGTGATGTTGAACTGTATAGACACACCCTTGGCTTTAGAGAAAAAAAGAAAGGCTCTTAAGGAATGTTGCCTTCTATTTTTCTTTATTTTATCAACAATAAATTACCTTCTCAATTTACTGCCTCAATGAGTCAAGATACAAAATTTAAAAATGTTTCGATTATAGTTAACCTTGAATAACATGGGTTTGAAGTGCATGAGGTCCACTTACAATTTATCTTGTAAACAGATGACATAAATTTACAGTATTAACAGTATAGTGCTGTAAATGTATTTTCCTTACTATCTATAATAAAAGTATAATATGCTAATTAGAATAGGACGTCCTTCCAAACGACCTTCTGGATAAAGCCTCGGTGGCAGGCAGGGGCCAAGGCAGAGGTGGCCACGGAGGGGGGGTGCGTGTCCAAGCCCCTTGCACAAATTTTGTGCATGGACCTCTAGTTTTCTTAACATCTTTCTCTAGCTTACAAAAATCACATGATTATAGCAATAGATGCAGAATAAGCATTTGACAAAATCTAACACCCATTTTGATAAAAATTCTCAGCAAAATGGAAATAGAGGGAGCATACCTCAACATAATAAAGGCCATATATGACAAACCGATAGCCAACATCATACTCAATGGGCAAAACTAAAACAATTTCTCCTAAGAAAAGAATAAGACAGGGATGTGCACTTTCACTACTCCTATTGAACATAATACCAGATGTCCTAGCCACAGCAATCAAGAATAAATAAATAGCCGGGACCTGTTTGGCTCAGTGGATAGAGCGTCGGCCTGCGGACTGAAGGGTCCCGGGTTCGATTCCGGTCAAGGGCATGTACCTTGGTTGCAGGCACATCCCCAGTGGGGGATGTGCAAGAGGCAGCTGGTCGATGTTTCTTTCTCATCGACGTTTCTAACTCTCTGTCCCTCTCAATTCCTCTCTGGGTAAAATCAATAAAAATACATTAAAAAAAAAAAAAGAATAAATAAATAAAAGGTATCCAAATAGAAAAGGAGGAAGTAAAACTCTCATTATTTGCAATGCCATAATATTGTACATAGGAAACCCTAAAGATCCCATTAGAAAACTACTAGATTTAATAAATGAATTTGGCAATGTAGCAGGATACAAAATCAACACCCAAAAATCGATGGCTTTTTAATACACCAATAATGAATTCTCAGAAAGAGAAATTAAACAAGCAATCCCATTTACCATTGCAACAAAAAAATTAAAATACTTAGGAATAAACTTAACCGAGGAGGTAAGACTTGTACCGTACTCAGAAAATTACAATACAGGACATTGGAAAAAGAAATAGAGGAAGATAAAATAAGTGGACGAATATATCATGTTCATGGAGAGAATTAACATCATTAAAATGTTCATACCAATCAAAACAATCTATAGATTCAATGAAATCCCTAATAAAATACCAACAGCATATTTCACAGATCTAGAACAAATACTCCAAAAATTAACATGGAACCAAAAAGACCCTGAATACCCACAGCAATCTTGAGAAAGAAGAACAAAGTTGGAGGGATCACAATACCAGATGTCAAGTTATACTGCAAAGCCCCGTAATCTAAACAGCCTGGTACCTGCACAAGAATAGGTACATAAATCAATGGAACAAAACCGAGACCCCAGAAATAGACCCAAGCAATTATGCTCAATTAATATTTGACAAAGAAAGCAAAAGCACACAATGGAGTCAAGACAGAGTCCTTCAATAAATGACGTTGGGAAAATTGGACAGATGAAAAAAAAAAAATGAAGCTAGACTACTAACTTAGACCATACACTCAAATAGATAAAAGACTTAAATGTAAGTCGTGAAGCCATAAAAATCCTAGAAGAAACTATAGGCAGCAAAATCTCAGACATCTCTCATAGCAATATGTTTACAGATACATATTGAAACTACATCAAAATAAAAAACTTCTGCACAACAAAAGAAACCATCTACAAAACGGTTTGGCCCAGTGGATAGAGCATCTGCCTGCAAACTGAAGGGTCCCAGGTTCAAATCCAGTCAAGACACATGTGGGCAGGGGGACGGGGGGGGGGGGGGGATGTTTTGCAGGCTTAATCCCCAGGAGAGGACGTGCAAGAGACAGCTGATCAATGATTCTCTCTTGTCATTGCTATTTCTATCTTTCTCTCTATCTCCCCTCCTCTATGAAATCAATTTTTAAAAATGCTCAATTAAAAGAAAAACAAAAATTATGGGAGAACATATTTGGCGATGATACATCTGATAAGATAATGGGTTACTATCCAAAACAAGGAACTCATACAACTTAACAAAAGGAAAGGATCTAAATAGACACTTCTTCAAAGTAGACATACAGATGGCCAAGAGACATACAAAAAAATAGTCACTGATCATCTGAAAGATGCAAATTAAAACAATGAGGTATCACGTCATATCTGTCAGAATGGCTACCATCAACAAATGACAAGTGCTGGTGAGACTGTGGAGAAAGGGAACCCTGCTAGAGGGAATGCAGACTGGTGCAACCATTATAAAAAACAGTATGGAATTTCCTCAAAAGATTAAACATGGAACTGCCATTTGACTCAGTGATCCCACTTCTAGGAATATATTCTAAGAAACCCAAAACATCAATCAGAAAGAATATATGCATCCCTATGTTCATAGCAGCATTATTTACAATAGCTAAGATCTGGAAACAGTCCAAGTGCCCATCAGTAGGTGAGTGGATAAAGAAGCTATGGTTTAAAAAAAAAAAACAAAAAAAAAAAAAAAGAAAGAAAGAAAGAAAGAAAGAAAAAGAAACAGCAGCAGCTATGGTTAAAGGAGAAAAAAAAAGCTGTGGTACATTTATACCATGGAATATTATGCAGCGGTAAATAAGAAAGATCTCTTTCCCTTCGAGACAGGATGAAGAGAGACCTGGAGAGTACTATGCTAAGTAAAACAAGCCCATCAGAGAAAGCCAAGTATCAAGTAATCTCACTCATTGTGTGGAATCTAATGAACAAAATAAACTGATGAACAAAATAGATCCAGAGACATAGCAGCACAGAACAGACTGTGGAATCTCAGAGGGAAGGGTGGGAGGGGGATAGCAGTGACCAAAGAACCTGTATGCATATGTGCGTAACCCGTGAACACAGATAGAAGGGGTCAATGGGGGGGGAGGGGAGGGAGGAGATATCTGTAATACTTTCATCAATATTCTTTAAAAAACACAAAAATAAAAGATCACTTTTTCAAGGTTAAGCACTCACAGAATCTATCAGTTTGGTGGCCAGTGTGTGTGGAGGCGGCGGCAGTAGGGTGGGTGATACGATGCTGCTGCCGTATTGTATGCAGGCCAGCAGTCTCCAACCTTTCAGACTGCACGGACCACCAGTGGTCCGGACCATCGGTTGGCGACTGCTGTACTAGGCTATTGGACTTGATACAATCTAATCCAACCTTATCCTACCAAGGGAATAACTGAGAATCTCCCTTGATCTCCCAAGGCTGCCTGTTCTAAGAAAATTCCACTAATGAACCAATTCTCAAGGAGGTGGAGTCTGCCTCCGAAGTCCTCTCACCAATTCTAACTTGTCTACCTTCTAAGATTACCATGGTCTATCCCCTCCTCCCTTTATGTGTGTGTGTGTGTGCGCGTGTGTACACACACACACCCCACACACATAACAGTTTCTACTTTTTTCTTCAAGACAAAATAGAATTCCTTTTAACTCTTCCTTACAATATATTTCAAATAGCCTCATGACCCGGTTGCTTTCCTCCACCCCACTTCAGATTAAAGTCTATGACCTAGTGCCCCAATCTAAACAGAATAATATGGTTTCAGGAAAGTGTGT